GTCGCGCCGGTGAAGCGTTGTTCGGTTGTCGCGGGTGAAGACAGGTTGGGAAGATGAGGTGCTCAAGGTACTTGTTGAGAGATGGCTTGTTAAGATGTTGGTGTGGGCCTGGGGTCATGGGAAAGATGGAGACAGGAAAGCAAGGCTTAGTAGTGCAAGGACTGTTCCAATCTGAAATTATATCCTTCGGGTATCTTCGGGTTGGTGATGGTCAATTCCAAGGAAGAGCTAAGGGAGGGTGTCAAACTGCCGACGCATGATGTGGACTAAGCTGTCGCATTGCGTTGGGGTTCAGAGAGCCACTAGAGCTAGGCAGCAATCAAAGGCCATCTAATTACTCAGCTATTTCTACAGAGGACTCACACAAGTGGCCATTGTCCCACCAGCCCTCACACATGAGGCTATTCCCTAGGGATCCGTTTTCGTACCTTCTCAGGTACGGTGATGTCTTCGCTGTTCGACGAGACGGGGTTTGGAGGGTGCAGTCGTACCGAACCTGAGGAGGTTCGGTACGACTGGATCCCTATAAGGATTGTGCGTTCTTGGCTCCACTCGCACGTCTTGGCTCCACAGCGACTGCCGCGTGTGGGTCCTGCACGACGACGCTGTTCTTCGCAGGTGGTCATCGCAGACTGCGGGGAGCTGCCCCTCAAAGACTGGCCCAAGGCAAGACGCGAGACCCGGGGGGTCCCTCCTCCCGGAGGAGGAGAGGATGGAGGACATGACCAAGGAGGAGAGGGCCAAGCAGCGAGGGTGGAGGTTTGGATAGTGTTTTGGTGGGAGTGTTTAGTGTGTGAGACCCGATGGCTGTGGGAGGGCAACAGACAAAAGAATCCTCCAACATTCAGAGGCAAAGTCTCAGTATTCAGCTGGTAGAGACTTATAGTGTAATAGACTTAATACGTGGGATTTGCTGCTTGTTTTGCAGGCACTTGCGTTCAAAGGCGGCCATTCTAGAGGTGGCTTCAACATGATTCGATGGTGGCTTCTGCGACTGCAAAGGTGTTGCTGACCAAACTCGAGGGAACGGAACATATACCTTGATCTTCCAACTATGCAGAATGTGTGCTTTTTTCATCTATAGAACCATGGTAGGCACCAATTCTGCATGGTTGGAAGATCCATGGTATTGCTGAACCACAGGCAATGCATTTTGTCAGCACTAGCCGTGTTTGCATGCGTTTGTGCTGTCCTGTTATTTTGGGCCAGGCGGACAAGTGACGAAAGCGCCAGGCGTGGCTGAGCGCCAGCAGACTAGGATGTGGCAGAAGGACCTGATCACTGATGGGGAATCTATTTATCTATCATTATCTATCCATCTATTTATCTATCTGTCTATCTATCTGTCTTAACTATTATATACATAATATTAAAGATATGTATATATATAACTATATATTTCTATCTATCTATCTATCTATCTATCTATCTCCATGTAAAAGGAAGCGGTTCAAGCCATCCAAACAAGATGACTGAACATACCGCAGCTTTTGGATCTAAGTCTGTGACTCAGCAGGCCCTGATGGACGGCAGTATTCAAGAATGTTGGGTATGTTTTCTTCTAATCGTTTTGAGCCATTGGTCAATTCCACTGGTTTGCATTTGTACATGCCCAGAGTCGTATGATCCCAGTACCTACAAGCTAGACCTTTCCGTGTTGGGATTGTGCACAGTAACAGTTGATAAACAGTAACAAGAGTATCAGTATGTTAGCTGATTTCTTACCGATCATGGTCATAGAGATAATCATCACCACCCTCCCCATCCCCATCCCCATCATCATCATCATCATCATCATCATCATCATCATCATCATCATCA